TCAAATGTGATAATGGTTACCCATGGTGGACAGCGTTTGGTGGAGCTCTCTGATTAAAACAAGCTTGGAAGCAGGAGTGGCATCCGCTTCTGAAATAGCTTGCCTCCTGAAACCCTATGAACTTGGAGAAATGATGAAAGTTATACAACTGTTCAGGTCTTTCGTTCATAGGGTTACTATGAGGTGTCGATAAAGCTTGTACAACAACAACAACAAAATGAGTGATAGGAAAATGGTAAGACTCTACTTTATCAAAGCTGGAAAACTTGTTAAGACTGGGAAAAAGAAAGCAATCCTAGGGGAGCTCTGGTGGCCTAGTGGCAAGAAGCTATACTGCAATCCCAAAGATACATGGTTCAAATCCACCAGATCCTCTGCTGGAGAAGGAGGGACAATTTCCTCCTGGACTAGTCAGATCTGATTTGACGGTACATGCACAAAAATAATAAAAGAAAATTTTAAAAAAATTTTTAAAAAAAGAAAGCAATCCTGTTCAAGTCAGGCTCAGAAAGGTTAAGTAACTGGCCACAGGTCACATAGCCAGCAAATAGCAGAGCTGAGATAGGGACATAATCTGTCTTTTGACTCTAGTGCACAGGATCTCCATCAGTGGATGACAGAAGAAGATTCACTTTGGCGCAGGAGCCCGTCAGGGGAGGTGGTCTGAGACGCTTGCTCTTGGGCCAGTCTATCCTTTTCTGCTCCCTTACCTGAGCTGAATATAGCACTGATGGTGTAGTCCATGGGAAGGTGTGCTGCGAACCCAAAGACTTCTTCTTCTCTGGTGGTTCAAAGCCATCCCAGTGATGCCTCAGGAGAAAGATGAGCAGTCTCCTCCTATGAGTTTTACAGCCTCCAAAACCCAGTGGAGGATTAATTATGAGTCAGTTCTGATTCAATATCAATGAGCTAAGAGCCTGAACCAAGGGCTGTCTGTATCTTCCTGGTTTCAGACTGGCAGCTGGTATTTCTCTTTGACGGTTATAAAATTTGCATTTGTTATAAATGGAGGAAAAGGTGATGATCACAATGAGAACTACCCCCACCCCTGTCCAACTACAATATTTTATTCTAAAGAAAACATCATCTTTGTTTTAGAAACTTTGCTGCTACCCAAGTACTTAGCACTTGTAATCAATTGCTAGGTTAGGTACAGATGATAAAAATCATCATTAGGTAATCTTTTAAGATACAAACATCAAAGGTCCCAATTGAAACTCACTCAATCCTTGCCAAAAGGCAATTGAGGTTCCTGCATCATTCCTTAATCTAAGCCCTTCGAGTTGACATTATCAGCAAGTAAAACACCCAGGTGATGAGCTTCTCAAAAAAAGATCCAGCTACACCCTTATTTTTTTATATCATTTTATTATAAGGCTTTAATTTGTACTAAAATTTAGCATGTGTTTTTTGGGGGTTAATTTGTCACACAGGGCTTACATTATTTGATCCATTTTTTAATATAAAACTATATAGAAGCTGCTGGAATTTTACTAGTGTGATTATACTTTTGAATGCTAGAGCACATTCCCCCCAAAGAAGTTATAAACATTTTATGTAATATATTAATTGTCATTGGGTGGGCAACCAAGTAGACTATAACTCATGTTGTTAGATGCCATTGAGTCGAGTATGACTCATAGTGATCCTATGATCAGACAACCCGAAGCCTGCTCTATCTGGTGTCATTCTTACCATCTCTGTCTGACACACTAGAGTCCACTGTGTCAATTTATCCCATTGGGAGTCTTCCTCTCCTTCACTGGCCCTCCATTTCTCCAAGCTTCATATCCCTTCCAATGAATAGCCTCACTGAGTTATATGTCCAAAGATGAAGTTTTGCATCTTTGCCTCTAAGGAGCACCCTGGCTGTACTTTTTCCAAGACAAACCTTCTGCTCTTTTGACAGTCCATGGGGTATTCAATACTCATCCTCCAGCACCATAACTCAATGGCATCAATTATTCTTCTGTCATCCTGATTAATTGTCCAACTCTCCCACGTGTAGCAGGTGATGGAAAAGACTATGTCCTGAATCAGGCACACCTTCGTCTTAAAACTGACAACAATGCTCTTCAGTGTTTTGGAAAGATCCCTTGCAAATACAATACATCTCTTGATTTTCTGACTGCTGGTACCAAGGGTGTTGAAGTTTTTTTAAAATTAATTTTAATGAACGTTTACAGAGACTTTGGATTTCTATTCATTCCTTGTTGCATTTTTCTCCCTGCCCGCCCCTCCACCCAGTTTGCTCTTCTCTGAAAAGTAAAAGTTCTTTCATTGTTATACAATTCCCCCCACCCCCCCATCCACTCCACTATGCAGCCTCCATTCTGGACTCTTGTCATGACAACAATTATCTAATCATATATCCCTTTGAAACAGTTTTCTCCCTCATCTGTTTCAATGCAGTATGCATTATTTGTCCCCTCTTTTTCAGTCTCCCCCCAACCCCGAGGTCAGTCCCTTTTACAACAGTGGCACTATGCAATATTTGTCCTTTTGTGACTGAGATATTTCACTCAGCATAATGTCCTCAAGCGTCATCCATTTTGTATAATATTTCATGAGTTCTTTGTTTTTCAATGCAGCATAATATTTCATTGTGTGAATATACCAGAGCTTCTCTATCCATTCGTTTGTTGATGGGCACTTAGGTTGTTTCCAGCTCTTTGTTATTGTGAACAAAGCAGCAATAAATATGAATGTGAATATATCTGCTTGGATGACAGTTATAGTTTCTTTAGGGTATATTCCCAGTAGTGGAGTTACTGGGTCAAATGGTATTTCTATTTGCAACTTTTTGAGAAGGCACCATACAGCCTTCCACAGTGGTTGCACCATTTTACACTCTCACCAACAGGGAATAAGGGTTCTAGTTTCTCTGCAACCTCTCCAGCATGTGATGTTTGCTGCTCTGTTAAATGTTGCTATTCTTACTGGGGTGAGATGATATCTCATAGTAGTTTTGATTTGCATCTCTCTTAGAGCTAGGGATTTTGAACATTTCGTTATGTGTTTGTTTGCCATCTGAATGTCTTCTTTGCTGAAGTGTCTGTTCATATCCTGTGCCCATTTTTCAATTAGATTATTTATCTTGTTGTGGTGATTTGTTGGTTAATATTTTATAAATTCTAGATATAAGTCCCTTATCTGTCATGTCATTACCAAATATTTTTCCCCAGTTTGTGGCTTCCGTTTTTACCCTGGTGGAGAAGTTTTTGGATGTACATAGGGATTTGATTCTTAGAAGGTCCCACTCATCTATTTTATACTCTCCTGGTTGTAGATACACTCTTATTTTAAACAGCAGGAAAGAGTCCTAGTGGTTAAGAATCCACCCTCCCTATCTCTCCCTACCTGTGAGTGTGGCTGGAAGCAAGCCTATCCGAAGTAGGCCTCCTTCTGGGGTGGATCAGGCCTGAGTCTGGTTCTACCTGGTCTGATAGGTGATTCCCACAGAGAACCAGGTGCACACAAGTGCAGCATTTCAGAAGCTCTGTCCCTCCCCGCGTGATGCCGTTCACTTGAGGGCTCACACTAGCCCAAATTCCTTCTGGTTGCCCCAGAAATCAGACCTGAGTTTGGATCAGTCTAAAGCCCAAAGTGGAGCAACACATTCTAATGAGTACTTGCTGGTTCCAGAAGCTTCTTAGTCTAGACTTATGCATTCTTGCCACCCTGTCAACTTCAGGCTCTGGCAGAGGATTTTAGTGGCCTCTTCATGAGGTCCTTGTGACAGTGCCTGGAGACCAAGTGCTGGCTTCTACCTGCTGCATCTGGAAGGTGCACACTGAGGGCCTGACATTATTGGAGCAACTGTGGACCAGCCTCTGTGTTGGGCCCTTAGAAGACATCTCCTAGTGTTCACATCACCTTGTTCAACCAGTCTAGACTTTCTAATCTCTGACAAATGAGGAAACTGAAGAGCAGAGATTCTGAACAGCAGCCATAGACAGCAGGTGGCCCGGTGTGGATAGGGCCTCGGGTCTCCTTGCTTTACACCAAAGCTCCAATCCTTTTCTTGCTTCTGGTGCAGTGCACTGTCAACAGGTGGACCCAGGAAGAAAAAGTACCTTTAAGGTAATGTCTTCCGACGGCCAGTCTTTAACCCAGGTGGGTAGATTATATCAGAATCTCTGAGACTGGCACCTGACACTGGTGGTTTTTAGGGCTTCTCAGGTGATTGCCTTGGAGGCAAGGATGGCAAAGCTTCCCCTCACATACTTTGGGCATGTTGCCAGGAGAGGCTGTTCATTGGAGAAAGACATCATGCTTGAAATGGTGGGAGGATGGGCAAAGGAGAGGAAGACCAATGGGTTCACTGTCAATCCATAACAGTGACTGCAGCAATGGGCTTGAGTGTGTTCGAGATTGTGAGGACGACACAGGACAGGTCAGTGTTCAGATCTGCTGTTTGTAGGGTTGCTATGAGTTGTACCAGACTCGATGGCACCTAACAACAACAGGTGATCCCAAAGGGCAATCTAGGCTGCCAAACACTGCTTTGCTGCAGCGATCAACAGCATATTTGCTGGGGGATCCGGCAGCCCAGGTGCGTCTCTCACAGTGTAATCTTGTTCATGAAACCAAAAATCAGAACTGAGCCAGTGTTGATAACGCCTCCTCTAGCCTCAACAACAATACTTGGGGGAGGGGCCCTGGTGGGGCTTGGGGTCTCCTGCCCTCGCGGCTCAGGTGCAGCACCGAGACAGGAAGCCGCCTCCTCCAGGGCCGGTACGCGGGGCGATTGCGCCATTCGCTCGGGCTTTCGTAACTGCACCATGGGTTGGGCGAGAGAGACGCTGCAGCGCGAGTTCCTCAAATGTTTTCCTGCGTTGCCGGGACGGTCCACTGCTCTTAGTCATGTATAAGTGGGAAGTGGCACTAGCACCGAATTGGCCCAAAGGGATCTGAGCCGAGTGCGGTAGCGGAGCCGGGGACCTCACTGCGCGCCCACAGCGAGGCCCCGGGCCTGGGAGCTGCGCTTTGGGCCGACTATGCCCGCCCACCCGCTGCCCTGCCCCGTCCCAGCCTCCCGGTCCCAACTTGTCTGCCTGCCCGCCTGCTTCTCTCCGGGAGTATGGGGCGTTAGCCGAGGACGAAACATGCTCGCCGTCCGCTGCGCTCTGCTGGCTGCCCTTCTGGCCGCGCCGGGCACGGCAGTGAGCCCTGGAACTTGCCCAGCGCCGGGTAAGGGCTTCGCGCGCACCTGGAGGGCTGGGGCAGCCGCGGGTGGGGCCAACCGCCGTGACCGCCGCCAACCGAGAGCGGCTGGAGGGGGAAAGGACACGGCACGCTTCCCTTGTTCGTGGCTAGCTTAGGTCACTGTGGACGCAAGATACGCGCTCAGGACTGCCGCAGCTGTTGAGTCGTGGGCGGACACTCGTGCGCCTCGTGCAGTGTCTGTCACCTTTCGCCCGGCGGGGTCTCTGCGGGACTGACCTGCGCTGAGGGAGTTCAGCGCACACGATCTGGTGTGTTCTCAGAAACCCCACTGACAAAGTGACCCAGAGAGCTCTTGCGTCTGCCAGCATTTCCATCGCATTTCTCTAAGGAGAGATTCCCTGGAGAGCGCGCGCTAACGGGATGGTGCTCCCTCTTGGGCCGTCCATTACCCCAGCTCTTCTCTTGTTCCTCTGATTCTGAGGCCACTCCGCCTGCCCCCCCCCCCCGCCTTCTGGGTGCCTTATGTGGATGACAGTGCGGTGACTGTGAAGGGCCTGACATCACGGGCGGGCGCTGAGTCACGGACCTTCCTGCTGCACGTTTTCGCTCCCGTGGGCATCGGCTCTGTCAAGCCCGGTGCCCCAGCTCTGGGAGTTTTCACCTGAGTGTGGAGGCTGTCGAGGGATTGAGACCTCTTGGCTCTGGCACGAGCCTGTTGTCCCTTTCCAGAGAAAGGAAGGAAGGGTGAGGGAGAGGCCAGTGGGCACTTGTCACTCTTAACTGTAATCTGTGCCCAACAGCCAGACCATTCTTTGTACTCTGGCTGGGTGCCCAGCTGAGTGTCTACTCTTCTCTAGATGAGCTGGACAACTGCTTCCCTCAGGTTTATTTTAGGGTCTGAGAACTCAAAGGAGCTGCAGTGAAATTTTCAGACTGCTAAAAACTAGAGGGGCAGCAGACAGGCTTCCTAAAGGTGGTGGTTCTGGCTTTCTTTACTAGACCATAGGAAGCGCCTGCCCTGGGTGAAGCCTTCAGCTTGACCTCAGTCCACTGGCAGGGAGCGCTCCAGAGCTAAAGGCTGGAGTACCTGCAGCTCTTTTTGCTTCCTGGATGGTTGTGGTCCTTATATTCAGAAGAGGAAAGTAAATGGTATCTTTGTTCAATGTCTTTGCATGTGTTATTCTTGTCAGTAATAGCCACTGCTGACTGGGGCCTCCTGAACTTTGGTGGCATAGTGCATAAGGGTCTTTGAACTGAAAGGTCCTAGGGAGAGAAATAAATTTACTCCTGTAAAGATTGACTCTGGTGGCAGTGGGATTGGTTTTTGGTGGGGGCTTTATTCTGGTTTTCTAACCCTCTTGATAATCTAGATATGCTGCTGTTAGTTACCCTGGAGTTGATTTCAACTCATGATAACTCCAAATGGGCACGATATATTTGTTCCTTAGGGTTTTCAGGGCTGTGACCTTTTAGAAACAGACCAACAGGCCTTTTAACAACAACAGAAAAACCTCTAAAAAAATAATGAACAGGGCTTTTATCCTACGTGTCTCTGGATAGGCTTGAACCCACCAACTTTTCAGTTTGTAATTGCATGCTTAACCATTTGCATCACTCAGGGATAGTGATCCAAACATAAGTTCTTTTCAAAGAGGAGACTGAGGTTCAGAGACGTGGACATGAAAAAGGTGGTAAGGTCCAGCTAGTGGAGGCCTGCCCCTCCCATGGCTCTGTGCCCCAGTATGGTAAATCCCCAAGACCTCGAAAGTGTGGAACCAGCCCAGGAAACTGAGCCTGAGGCACCTGGGGGTAAGTTGTGAGTTATTCCTTGTCTGGCTGAGCTCAGGGGCAGAAGAGGCTTGAGGAGAGGAGAGAAGGTGGAGGCTCTGGCTAGCATTACTTGCTTGCATGCTGTACCTATGGTGTCATGATGCCTGGCAAGGCTGAGGCCTCAGTTGGCCTCAGGAGGAATGGGACTCCCTGGCCTGCTTCTGTTGCTAATCACACTGCCCCCAGAGCACATGCATCTCAAGTGGCTGCTTGTTTTGGCTTCTGAGAGGTGGCAGGACATCGCCAGGGCAGGCAGTCCTCCCTTTCTTTCCCTTGTGTTCAGGAGGGACCTGGATAGCCTGTGAAAGGCAGAACCGAGAATTTGGGGAGGAAGGGACATCGCCAGGGCAGGCAGTCCTCCCTTTCTTTCCCTTGTGCTCAGGAGGGACCTGGATAGCCTGTGAAAGGCAGAACCGAGAATTTGGGGAGGAAGTGAAAGCCCTCCCAGCTCAGAAGGAAAATGCAGAGAAGTAGAAAATACCCAGCTTCCCTCCCACACCCACACAGCCTCAGCCCACAAACTTGAGAGTAAAAATAAAGAAATTGTACAGGAAGCATGGAGCAAATGACTGTGAGGTGTGTCGCTGTAGAGAAGTGAGGGGCCAAGGTGGTAGGAGAAGCTGGGGTTGGCTTAGAGGGGAAATCCGTTGGTTCTCTGGGGCTCTTAGGGTTGGGAGAGGTGGCTTTCCCTCGAGGTCAGTACAGTACTCCCCACCTCACCTCTGGGTTGTCTGGTCTCCTCAGGTATATTGCCACCTAGGACGAGCTGGAGCTAGGAACTTAAGTTTTTTCCAGCCCAAGTACTCCAGGTGCAGGATGTGCCAGGTGAGGGCTTAGGTGACTCAAGTTCCCTCCTCCTTCTTCAGTGAAAGAAGGTACATAAAACAAGCACAAGCACCTATACATCTCTCTCAGTCCTGTCTCAACATCTGAATTTACCTTTAGGGTAACATCTTCCTGTCCCTCAATGCCTGCCTGCATTCCTAGCCCCACCTTAAATCATTATTTCTTAAAAGGCTCATTTTGGGTCTAGTTGCAGTCGAACTAACTGATGTATGAGTTGAAGGGGAGAGAGCTAGATAAAAATTAATTATTAAGTGCAACAATGAATGACTGGAAACCCTAAGTCTCTGTAAACTTTCCTTAAAATTAATTAAAAAAATTAATTATTGGTGCCCACTGTAGACACTAGAAAATGGCTGGGAGGGAGGCCCAGGAAACGACTCTTTTAGGCGGCCGCCCTTGGTGGTGGAGGAGCTGAAAGTGCTCCCCCACCGGCTCCTGTTGCCAGAAATCTCTCCTGCCTTTGGCTCTGTCCCTTGTTTATTCATTGCAGCAAATATTTATTGGGTCCTTGCAGTGTCCTGTGAGGCCTGTGTGGGATCAGCCACCCAGACTGTCCTCTAAAAGGAGCCTGCAAACGGTCCAGCAAAAATCCTTCGAAGAGGGGCTGAGAAAACCCAGTGTCTCTGACCCATTTGGTATCAAAGATGAGGACAGATTGTAGGGGGAGCAGGGAGGAGAGAAGCAGGGCAGGTAGTGAGGCTTCCCGATCCTGAGCAGAGAGTTCAGCTCTGAGCCTGGCCCTCTGAGCACTGGGTAAATCCTCACCTGGCAGGGTGTGTGTGAGCATGACATCGAGCAACAAAGGCCCTGCCTGCTACCAATAGTCCCTTCCCTTCTTTCCCCTTCTTCCTTTCCACCTAGCCACTCAGAAGCAATCTAGAACGTTCCTCTCACCAAACCTGTACTTTCCAGATCAGCTGTTACAATCTAGAGCTGTGGTAATGGCTAGCCACTAGCCATGTGTGACCATTTCAATTTAAATGAATGGGAATGAAATGAAACGAAAGGTTCAGTTCCTTGGCTGCACTGGCCAAGTTTCAAGTACTCATTAGGCACATGAGGCTGGTGGCTACTTACTAGACAGAACAGATACGGAACATTCACGTCATTGCAGAAATTCCTGTTGGCCCACCCTCATCTAGAGTGAAAAGCTGCTTCTCATGGAAATGTTTCTGTTGCCCCTCATTTTCCCCTCCCCAGACTTTCTCTCTTTCACCTGATTCACTCATTCATTGCCCTCAACTTGGAATCTACTTGTAGCTGATCCTTCATTGGGTTTTCTGTAAATTGTGCTGGAGGAGATTTCTCCTCCTTCTTCTGCTGGTGGACTCAAACCATTCGCCGTTAGATTGGCAGCACTCCTTCGCACTGAGCCACCAGAGCCCCCTTTCCTGTACCTCAGCACAGCTAATTTCATTTAGGCAACGAATGAGGCTGTGGAAGGCAGCAAATTCCTGCCTGAGCCCAGCAGTGCCACGTAAAACACACTAGGAACTTGGACAGGCGACTTAAACTCTCTGGGACTTGGTGTCTTCATTTCGAAAATAAGACTTGATTTTACTTTGCAGGGTGGCTACCAAGATTAGATGAACTAAGTACTATGATATGTGGTATTTCTGTTGTAGCAGTACTCAGTAACGAGGATGTAATTTATACAGATTGCTTAGAAAAGTATTACATAGAACCCACTACAGCTGAGTGATTCAGACTTTGAGCCACCCTGAAGGACAGCTCTGAAGGATTTCCAAGGAAACAGACTAGTCTTTATCCTCTGGAGTGTCATGGGTTTGAATCACAGACGTTTTAGGTAGCAGTGAAATGCCTTAGCCACTGTGCCACCAGAGCTTCTACCTCACTTACAGCAAGTTCTTATTGCACTAGGCAAATCTGCTATCAGGAACTTCTCCAAAGTTCTAGAGAGCAAAGATGTCATTTAAATACTGAGGTGTGCCTGATCCAACACATGGTACTTTTCACTTGCTTCGTATGCATGTGAATAAGGAAGGCCTAAGAAGACTCAATGCCTCTAAATTGTGGTGTTGGGGAAGACGACTGAATATACCGTGAAATGCCAAAAGAACAAACAAATCTGGGTAGAAACAAGTACAGCCAGAGTGCTCCTTGGAGGCAAGGATAGTGAACCTTGGTCTCACGTACTGTGGGTATGTTGTTAGGAGGGCCTGGAAAGGATATCGTGCTTGGGATGTGGGCAGTCTGAGAAGGAAAGGAAGACCCCCCGTGAGACGGCTTGATGCAGTGACTGACATGTGAGCTGGAGCCTAGTGGATCTGGTGCGGATGGTGCAGGATCAGCTCAGACACGCCGTGTCGTACATAGAGTTGCTGTGA